AGCCCACAATACGCAAGGGGGTGCCTTTGGCCCTATGACCGAAGGCTACCGTTGACAAAGTTGAGCTCAGAAACATCACAGGAGAACAAGGCTTGAAAACCAAGCCTTCAACATATACAGCCCTCGGTATTCAGATGCCCCCGGTTAGAAGAGCCTTCGGCCAACTCCCTTCAGCCGAGGGCACTTCCCTCGACAGAATATCCTCTCCACATGTGCCTGAATCACCGTACCAAGTACAAACATCACATCCAATCACCGCATTTAATGCGGCCACATGCAAATGCCGGTGCCACCCCGATTGAGGTGACTCCTCGACCACCAGATTATTGACACGTGTCCTTATCTAGCATTTATTGCTGCTATAAATAGCAGCCCATTTCTCCATTGTAAACCACACTGAATTCATACCGAATATACACACACTCTCTCTCTTACTTATTTGCTCTGACTTCTCTCTAAGTTATTCCAGCAATAACCCCTCAGATAAGCTACCCCCCGGGTACACTATCCATCAATAATTAAAACAGTCCGAGAAATACAACTTTCAGGGTCGATTGTACAAATCGAGACACAAAGGGATGACCTCCCACATGAGTGGGGGGCACCCCACGTTTTTTTGTTCTCAAATTAATGTGAGGGGGGCTGGTTTGACTTACAGGTGAGGTGGAGTGAGGTGATGAGCATCAAAAGTACAATGATGACCCATTTTCCTTCACTCATTTGCCAAAAGAGACAAAAAGTGTCACCCCCTCCTCCCTCCAAAAGAGAAAGGAAGCTCTCAAACCCTCCTCCATAGCTGCAAATTTCGAGCTCAAGAAATAGAGGTCCAAAGAAGAAGATTAAAGAAGGAAAAAGATAGGGAAAGTGCGAAAGATTAAGGTAATGACCTTATAATGACTTTTTTCTTTTTGTTATCTATCATATGACTTATATAGCATATGGAGGACCCCTAGGATTGTTCTACATGTTTAGAAGTGTAGAATAAGGGATTGGAAGATAGTTCTAAGTCTAAGAACGAACTTAGAATCCAATTGACCGGTTCGACGGAAAATAATCTTTTAGAGGTTATTTGTGTTGATATGGGTTTTGTGATGATAAACCCTTGTTAGGAGCTTGACTAAGGTGTTCCTAACTGTTGTCGGAGTTTCGCCGGAGTATCGCCGGAGTTAGCCGGAGTTTTGCCGGAGTTCAACCGAGAAGGGTAGAACTTCTTAAAGCTCATTCGAGGTGAGGATGACTGTCTATATTGCTTATAATTGTTGGATTAATTTCATAAGATTACCTAAAGTATTAAATGTGATTTTCATGGATTATTAATGATTAATAATGCCTAAATGAAAATACTATTGCATATGAGTAAATGAAGCATAATATACAAATTTAGAGAAATTGTGTATGATTATGTATTATGAATATGATGTCATGACAATGAAAGTAATTATGAAATATTGTGATAAAATATACTTTTACTTCATGTATGGAATTCGTGAATGGATAAAAGTGATATTTTTTATATTAAGGCTAAACCATATTTTTGATCGGTGAATCAATTGAAATAAAATGTTTAACTATGGATTAAGAACTTGGTTGTTCTAAGATTATCCAACTAGTATTGAAATACTAGTCGGGAATTTAATACAAATAATGAGGGATTAATCCTAAGAGATTGGATTGTGATTAGTGATGCCTTAAGTAGTCTTAAGAGATACTTTAAGGATGAATTGTATGAGCTGTAAGGTATGTTAGGGGTAGGCCTTAAAGGTTACTCTAAGTGAATGGATTCTAAGCATAGGATTTGTTAGAGAATCAGACTAAAATGATGAATTAGAGCCGGACTCTAGAATAACATGGAAACATAGTTGGGCCGAGCCCTTGCCATGTAGTTGTGAAGTACATAGAAACATAGTTGGGCCGAGCCCTTGCCATGTGATGGAGTATATGGCCCAGGAACCCCCGGCCCATAGACTCCTACTATTCTAATGGAGGTCCAATAGGCCCAGGAAGCACAACAAGCCCAAGTCACGGCGCCCCAAGTACTAAGCAACCCACGTGGCGCACTAGGGGTGCCTTCGGCCTCCTGGCCGAAGGCTCCAATTCTCACAGGACGGCCAAATCGGGAAAACAAAGTTACTGGGAGAAAACGGCGAAAATCAGTAGCCCTCAGCACCTAGAGCCCTCGGCACCAAGGAGGTCCCTGGTACTCAGAGCCCTCGGCCAATCATCTACAGCCGAGGGCACCTTTTCCGACATAATATCCGCTCCACATGCGCAGGGATCACCGTACCAAGTACGACGTCCCATCCAAATTTAGAGAAATTGTGTATGATTATGTATTATGAATATGATGTCATGACAATGAAAGTAATTATGAAATATTGTGATAAAATATACTTTTACTTCATGTATGGAATTCGTGAATGGATAAAAGTGATATTTTTTATATTAAGGCTAAACCATATTTTTGATTGGTGAATCAATTGAAATAAAATGTTTAACTATGGATTAAGAACTTGGTTGTTCTAAGATTATCCAACTAGTATTGAAATACTAGTCGGGAATTTAATACAAATAATGAGGGATTAATCCTAAGAGATTGGATTGTGATTAGTGATGCCTTAAGTAGTCTTAAGAGATACTTTAAGGATGAATTGTATGAGCTGTAAGGTATGTTAGGGGTAGGCCTTAAAGGTTACTCTAAGTGAATGGATTCTAAGCATATGATTTGTTAGAGAATCAGACTAAAATGATGAATTAGAGCCGGACTCTAGAATAACATGGAAACATAGTTGGGCCGAGCCCTTGCCATGTAGTTGTGAAGTACATAGAAACATAGTTGGGTCGAGCCCTTGCCATGTGATGGAGTATATGGCCCAGGAACCCCCGGCCCACAGACTCCTACTATTCTAATGGAGGTCCAATAGGCCCAGGAAGCACAACAAGCCCAAGTCACGGCGCCCCAAGTACTAAGCAACCCACGTGGCGCACTAGGGGTGCCTTCGGCCCCCTGGCCGAAGGCTCCAATTCTCACAGGACGGCCAAATCGGGAAAACAAAGTTACTGGGAGAAAACGGCGAAAATCAGTAGCCCTCAGCACCTAGAGCCCTCGGCACCAAGGAGGTCCCTGGTACTCAGAGCCCTCGGCCAATCATCTACAGCCGAGGGCACCTTTTCCGACATAATATCCGCTCCACATGCGTAGGGATCACCGTACCAAGTACGACGTCCCATCCAACAGCCGCATTAAATGCGGCCACATGCGATTGCCAGCGCCAACTAGTTGAGGTGATCCCTCGGCCAATGGATGCTTGACACGTGTCCCTATCTGGCATTTATTACTACTATAAATAGCACCCCATCTCTCCATTTGTAACCCAGAAGCAAAATACGCTGATCACATCTAATATACTCTCTCTGTAACCCATTTGTAACCCAAAATGATAGTTTGTCCAAGTCAAACTGTTGCAACTATTAAACAACAGAACGGGGATTAATCTTTATTTTAGTCCAAAACATTAGAGGGTAAATTTGTCTAAACACACATAATAAATTGTACTAGATAATTTAAAACATTGTAATCCATATTTAGTTATCTTTTACTCCTGTTTTAGGTTGTTTTTACTTGGACTGTAATTCGTCCTAGACCACACTAGACTAGATCAGACCAAAACAGACGAGACCAGACCAGACAAGACTAAAACAGACCAGACCGGACCAAACCATACCATATTTATTATTATTATTATTATTATTATTATTATTATTATTATTATTATTATTATTACTACTACTATTATTATTACTATTATTATTACTATTATTATTACTATTATTATTACTATTATTATTACTATTATTATTACTATTATTATTACTATTATTATTACTATTATTATTAGTATTATTATTGTTATTATTATTGTTATTATTATTGTTATTATTATTGTTATTATTATTGTTATTATTATTGTTATTATTATTGTTATTATTATTGTTATTATTATTGTTATTATTATTGTTATTATTATTGTTGTTATTATTGTTGTTATTATTGTTGTTATTATTGTTGTTATTATTATTATTATTATTATTATTATTATTATTATTATTATTATTATTATTATCATTATTATCATCATTATTATCATCATCATTATTATTATTATTAGGGGTGTGCACCGGTTCAAAACTGGACCGGATCGTACTGAACTGGACCAGATATTATTCTGGTTCGACCCGGTTCCGATTTTTCTGGTCCGATTCTGTCTGGTTTTCCGGTTTAAACCGGCTAGTGCACACCCCTAATTATTATTATTATTATTTATTATTATTATTATTATTATTATTATTATTATTATTATTATTATTAGGGGTGTGCACCGGTTCAAAACCGGACCGGACCGTACCGGACCAGATATGATTCTGGTTCGATCCGGTTCCGGTTTTTCCGGTCCGGGTCTGTCTGGTTTTCCGTTTTAAACCGGCTAGTGCACACCCCTAATTATTATTATTATTATTATTATTATTATTATTATTATTATTATTATTATTATTATTATTATTATTATTATTATTATTATTATTAGGGGTGTGCACCGGTTCAAAACCGGACCGGACCGTACCGAACCGGACCAAATATCATTCCGGTTCGATCCGGTTCCGGTTTTTCCGATCCGGTTCGGTCCGATTTTCTGGTTTAAACCGGATAGTGCACACCCCTAATTGTCATTATTATTATTATTGTTGTTGTTGTTATTGTTATTGTTATTATTATTTGTAATTATAAATGAATAAAATATAATTATTTATGAATTATAATATATATAAAAAATAAAATCTTTATGCAAAAAATATGAAAAATAAAATTTCAGACCAGACCAGACCAGACCAAACCAAAATAGACCAGACCAGACCAAAACAGACCAGACCAGTAAATTACAGTCCAAGTAGAAACATCCTTACTTCATAGGTAACTTATTGAGGAAAAAATGAAAAAATTGTGACATGAAATTAAGTGAGAGATGGGGCGATATTCCTTCTTTAGAGGAGAGGTGAGCAAAGTAGAGTCAAACGAAATGAAAGTCTGGAATCTCCCCAGCACGTTCATAACCAAGTCAACTTCCCACCAAATCTCAGCGGCAGTTCAATCTTGATCCTCAGGAATGGGCCGGAAGGGGAATGAGTCTGGTCCCACGAAATGGGCCCCCGTGGCTCTCCTCGTCATGGGTCTGATTTCTTGCACTGTCGTCTATGCTTTCATGTCAGCTGCTCTAAGAGCAAGAAGCAGCAGTGCAAGGGTTGAGTCTTTGGAGGAGGAGAGTGGCGCGGAAGAGGAGGGTGACAGCATCGACGGGTGTTGCAAAGGGATTGAGAACTTGGAGCTTTGGGGCCCCGCCGTGAAGTGGGGAGCGGAATTTAAGTTTAATTCTTCAGCGGATTGCTGTAAAGCTTGCAGGTCTATGTGCAGTGGCAATTCCGGGCCTTGTTTGTGTGATACTTGGGTGTTCTGCGGAAACAAAGAAGCTTGTGGGTCCAAATTTGGTGAGGTATGTTCAATTCTTTTGGACTTCTTTATATTTTAACTACACTGTGTTTGCATTTCACTTTTTCATTTTTTTGTGCATTGATCGATATTTGAATATGGCTTTATCAATTGCTCTTTTTTTCCTGCAAACTAATGCATAATGTGCTTTTAATCCCATTCCAATGATTCACAATTGTGTCATATTAACTGTTATTTAGCCATAACCCGCTTATTCTGTCTAGTCAAACGAATTATGCTTAGCAGAATAAGTAGCATTTGACTTGCTTATTCGGTTCAAATGGATGCTAATTTTCTCTTCAGAAAATTCAGCCCGAAATAGCCTTACCAAATGGGCCCGTATTATTCATATTATAATCTATGAATTTCCCTATCCTGCAAATTAGACTTCCATTTCTCATAAGTCATAACTAATGTCTCTATTCGCCATAATGCTTTATTACTTAATTCTTGGAGACTACATAAGACACCAGAAAGGATGCGGTTTTTGTGTCAATCACCATTTCTTTGTTTAAATATAGTGCTGGCTGAAGAAGCAGAAAGATACCTTCAAACCAGATCGCCAGGAAGCAGGAAACAAAACCATGTGGACCTCTGGCATAATTTTTGGGAGAGGAGAGGTATATAATCTACTTGAGTCTTTCCATAGCGTTCATCGTTATTTTCATCTAATTTGAAAAACTTTATAGTTTTATAGTAAACCGCCATAAATAGTATCATGGCATGATAGTTTTTTGTATTAGTTGCTTAATGTAATTTTAGACGTGTCTTCCCTCTTCAATTGTCAACAATTATGTTACACAGATACTTTTATTTGTTATAGATTAGTTTTAAGGAGATGGTAGGCAGTATTGTTTACTGACAAGTACAATTGTATAAAAATATGATATGAGAGATTTTTTCCCCTAAAACATTATCCTCCCCGTGAAAATGTAGTTTGATTTCAAAGTATTTCCTTTGAGGTTTGTACCAAATGATCCGGCTTTTCCCAGGGCGGAGGGTTGGAGCTGGGGGCTGGAGAAGAACTGTCCTCCCCAATTTTGGTATATTTACACACACATACACACACATACTACCTCCGTCACAAAAACAAGTTCCATGTTTGACCTACACACAATATATGCAAGATAAACTTTTGTTTTCATTGTCCAAGTATGTCGTTACTTTATACCAAACCAAATGAAAAATAAGAAAAAGTTCAAGTGATAATGACATTTTTCTATTGCGTATATGGAAAAAGAATATGATGGAATAAAGCAAAAGCACTCACTAAACTGTCTGCTTTTTTTGCTAAGAAACATCAACCGGTCCATGCAATTTTGGATGCGATTTTCACTATGGGTCATCTGTCAATAGCCTCTTTGTGCTTTAGTACATGGGTAAGGTTGCGTACATCCGACCCCCCCTTACCCCACCGTAGTTGGGAGCCTTTGGGGCACTGGGGTAATGATGATGATATATGGAAAAGGAAACTTCATTTTGGGACATCCAAATAATGAAACTGAGAACTTGTTTTTGGGATGGAGGGAGTATATAATGTATTAACTTTATTTAGGGTCCTCATGCAGTTTATAATTTTGCCCGCACTGAAAGTTGTCTTTTTGCTTCGCCAGTTTTTACGATACAATGGTATGGTGTTATATTATTTCGATAACTGCAGGCTACTGTTGCCTTCGAAACCAAGTATGGCACTGTTCGAGTAAAGGTACTTGTTTCCATCTAATGAACTCGGTCATATGTTACATATTACATTAGGGGATGTATTTGAAAGTTTCTCATAATTTAGACCACATGTCACCGATACATGTTTATATTCCATACAGAAGCTGCATCATACTACCTTCGTCCCGACTTAAGTTTCTCATTAAAAAATACAGCATGCAACAGGGCCAAGAACGAGGCACGAGCCCATAATATTGCAGATTCATACCCGGATAGTGGGCCCAAATATGCTGGAAAACAAAGTGGCTAAAAGAAAACTATTAATTCGTTATTACTATTATTCCTATTTCAGTTTTAGGCAACTTCCTAATTATACTATTATTCCTATTTCAGTTTTAGGCAACTTCCTAATTATACTATTATTCCTATTTTAGTTTTAGGCAACTGCCTAATAATTAATTGCCTTTAGGACTCTTGTATCAACCTCTATATAAGGGTCATTATTATTATTATTATCAATAAAGTACCTTTTGGAAGAATTAATTTTGTGTGTCTTGACCATGTCGGACATCAATTTAATTCCTACTCAAGATTTCAATTCTTCAGAAATCATAGATTCCTTCCCAGCCAAATACCTTCCATCTGAATTACAGAAACACTCTCGTCCCTGGACGAGATCATTAACACAAGTTCTTAACAGCATAGTTGATGCTTCTCCATTGGCCTCCACTTCTTCGGTTTCCAGAATTGGAACTTCCTCTGCTTCCGATTCATCAGACTGTTCCATCATCAACCTAAGCGTGCAGTTTTTCAGCCTGCATATTTGATCCATATTCCATTTCTCCCTGCATTTGAAAGTTGAAACACAACCCTCGTCTAGTTCTGTCCTGGACTTCAGTTTGAGTTAACATGGGTCCTTTTCAGATGAACCTTCTTTTCTGTTGTGTGATGCTTCCTTCTCTAACATTGGAGCCTTAGTTTGCAGGAGCCTCCCTTGATGTTCTGGTGCCCCGTACTGAAATCTAGATGACTGGACCCCTTATCCTTCCAGCCTCGTTTGTGCATCTCCCTGCTCTTACCCCTCTTCAATGCCCCACATTTTTTTCTTCTAAGAGGGCCTTATCCATAAGTTCAGTCAATCCACCCGACTGATACAGTTTCAATTCCGCCCACACCTCTTCCTTCAGCCCATTCAGAAACACCCCTTCTAACACTTCTGGATCAGTGTTTCTCAGGGGTGCTACCACCACCTCGAACTGTTCCCTGTAATCCATTACCGATCCAATCTGTTTAATGCTAAGCATTGGACCAAAAGGGTTCTAGACCAGGTCCGGTGATCAGGGCCTCCTTGAAGTTTTGCCAGGACTGATCACTGGAGATCAGTACTATCTCCACTCTGCCAGCATCCGTCACCTGATTCAGTTTAAAATATCTCTCTACCTTGATAACCCAACCGTAAGCATCATCACCACAAAACAGTGGTAAGTCCACCTTCCTACCAGTGTGTATACGTTCGTTGTTCCTCGTGTGAGCATGCGTGAATTAAGCAAACAGGGATTCATTAGACATACCTCTGGATCGGGAAGTATCTACTCTATCCAATGGGGGTCGACGACGAGAAGTCCTCGATCTCCCTCTCATTTTCCTCACCTCTTGGTGAAGGGTGAGATTCCTGATTGCCTCCATCATGGTTCTCATTTTCGCATCCATCTCGGATCGCATCTCCGTGAAGGATCGCTCCATGTCATCCAGCCTATTCTCCATGATCGATCGAGTAAAAACCATCCACATGTTCCACAATTAGTGCTCTGATACTAGTTGATAGATACTAGCACACACGCCACCCAGAAAACAGTGTATATATATTAATAGAACACAATTACACTGTCTGTGATAGACCACTGAAGACTTATTCCCGCAGGAAGAAACTGCTCCTGGGAAGCAGTTGACATTGTGGCTATTTTTCATTCATTAGTGGAGGTGGTTATGGGCATAACCTGTAACCCACTACTCTATTGCTTTATAGTTATTATAAATACTTCATGTTAGCTACGTACTAGATAGTTCAGAATTTATAAGCATTATCATATTGTAAGGAGCCTTGTCCTCTCCACACGGACTAAAACATTTGGGGAATTTATTCAGATTCTGTGAATTCCTCAACCCTCCTTCTCTATCTCTCTTTAATCTCGACTGGTCTTATCATTTTGGTATCAGAGCGGTTAGATCCTAATGGTTTCCACCAGGTCGCAGGCGGATCAACACAACCAATCAGCAAATTCCCCTGTTGAACCCAACCTCAATGTGATTCAACAGTTAACTTCGATTGCTTCACGATTGCAAACTCTTGACGCCTTAGCAGCTGATGTGGCGGCTCTCAAATCCCAACGTAGTGACGGCCAGCCTGGAGGGTCGGGCAGAAGCAAGGAGAAAGAAAGTCACACAGGATTCCATGAGAGAACACGAGTGCCGTGGGGGGATATCGCAGATGAAGAGATGCAGCCGGGGTGGCCACAAAACTTCACGTGCAGACCCTATGCGAAGGTGGATTTTCCAAAATTTGATGGTGGCGACCCGCGAGGTTGGATCCTCAAAGCGGAAAAATACTTCCGTTATTATCAGGTGCCGGTCAATCAAAAAGTCGAAATCGCTTCCTTGTCTTTGGAGGGTGAAGCTCTTGACGTGTTTGCATGGATGAACGGTGAGGAATCCATACTATATTGGGAAGAATTGGTGAAATTAATGCAAGAAAATTTTGGGCCAGCAGAATTCTAGAACCCAGATGAATATTTGTGCAATATCAGACAATCGGGTTCCATCCAAGAATACAGGCAAAGTTTTCACGAAGGGTGTCCAGGGTCCACGATTGGCCTGAACACTGCCTTCTTGGGGTTTTTATTAACGGCCTGAAAGAAGACCTAAAAGCAGATGTCAGGATTCATAAGCTCAGGACTGTCTATCAGGCCATGAGTCTCGCACTACAGTTTGAATCCAAACTCGGCCCAAATAAAGGTCCAAGCAAACCACCTTACCTCTCAAACAACAGGCCAGGTCAATCCACACCTCTGACTCAACATCGCGACACCAAAGCAGCGACACTTTCGCCACAAGGAGGTTATACTACAACAGCTGGCCACAGTGCGACAGCTGCCCTGGTAACGGCGAACCGGCCTTGGGAATCAGAATGACAACTCCGGCTCGACAAGGGGCTCTGTTTTCGCTGTAACGAAAAATTTGGCCCCGGGCATAGATGCAAGACTCCTACGTTTTCTCTCTTGGAGCTCACGTTCAGCAGGGAGGAGGTGAAACAGGAAGAAGAGGTTGGCAGTGAACTGAGTGGAGAAGAGAACCTGCACGACATGGCTGAAATATCTATTCTTGGAAAGTCGACAGACGCCACCATGAAACTTCGGGGATCCCTCTTAAACAGGCAAGTCCTAATCCTCATTTATAGTGGTTCTACCCATAATTTCATCTCAACATCACTGGTTGAGGAATTGGGGATCGACTTTCGGCGTTGAGATCGGGAATGGAGATGTAATCAGGTGCAATAAAATCTGCCGTGATGTTTCGGTTACCTTACCGGGACTGAAGATTACTCAAGATTATTTCCCTTTCTCACTCGGAGGAGTGAATGTTGTGTTGGGGATAAAGTGGTTGGCTTCACTGAATACGGTGCAGGCCAATTGGAAGGAGATGTTTATGATTTTCTGCCTAAATGGGAAGAGGTACAAACTGCAAGGGATTCCCTCTACCAGCAAACAAGAGGTATCAATCCAAATTCTCTCCAGGGTACAAATGGATTCTGGAAACACCTCTGCCCCAACCCAGGTTCAGTCCCTTTTATCCGAATTTCAGGACATTTTTTCCGATGTTACCACTTTACCACCTTTTCGCACCCAAACTCATTCCATTCATCTATATCCAAATTATGTTCCCCCAAATATTAGACCATACCGATACACTTCTGACCAGAAAACAGAGATTGATAACCATGTAGAGACCTTACTGGCCACAAGGTTCATTCAGCCCAGCACCAGCCCTTTTGCTAGCCCGGCAATACTAGCATCTAAGAAAGATGGTACTACACGGTTCTGTGTGGATTACAGAAAATTGAACCAACAAACTGTCCCAACTAAGTATCCCATTCCCAATATTGATGACCTCTTGGATGAACTTCACGGGGCCACCATATTCTCGAAATTGACTTGAAGTCTGGTTATTTCCAAATCAGAATGAACCCAGTTGACATCCCCAAAACTGCTTTTAGAACCCACTCCGGGCACTATGAATTCCTTGTCTTGCCCTTTGGGCTGATGAATGCCCCTTCTACCTTTCAATCCACTATGAACGACCTTTTTCTTCCTTATCTTCGAAAATTTGTCCTGGTGTTCTTTGATGATATCTTGGTATACAACAAAAACCTTGCGGACCACTTATGTCATTTACGGATTGTTTTTGATCTCTTACGAGTTCATCAATTTTATGCCAATGCGAAGAAGTGTTCTTTTGGCCAGCCCCGTATTCTGTACTTGGGGCATATAGTGTTCAGTGATGGAGTCGATATGGAGAAGAGAAAGTCCAAGATGTTCTGAATTGGCAGGTTCCTCGGAATGTCAAAGAGTTGAGAGGCTTTCTGGGGCTGACAGGGTACTACCGTCGCTTTGTCAAAGATTATGGGATACTTGCCAGGCCACTCACTGAACTTACAAAAAAATGGGTTCCTTTGGAGTCCAATGGCAGAGAGAGCATTTCAGAGCTTAAAAATGGCATTAACTTCTGCTCCTGTTTTGAAGTTACCTGACTTCACCTTGCCCTTTACAATGGAATGTGATGCATCAACCGCGGGGGTTGGAGCTATTCTGCTCCAGTCAGATCACCCGATCTCTTATTTTAGTAAGGGATTTTCTTCTTCTAATCGTTTGAAGTCCACCTATGATCGGGAATTATTTGCTGTTGTTTTAGCCTTACAGAAATGGAAGCATTATTTGCTTGGTCGACATTTCTTTGTCAAAACTGATCACTGCAGTCTTAAGTTTTTGT